TTGTGATTTTCATAAGAATTGCATTGGATTCATAGATGACTATATGAAAACTTCATCCTTGTGTTAGTCTTTGAATCCAAAAACATAATATCTCTATTTTCAGTTTCTTAAATGTTACCAATAAACTTGATTTTTTCATAGCAGTAATGCATTTTTAAAATTTGTTCCCAAGTACTCTACAATATGGATAGCATCTTTTAGTTATATTTTTTAATTTGTTTATTTCATTCTCTACCTGGTATAGAAAAGTGCAATTGATTTTTGCTTATTGATTTTGCATCACTTGTATTAAACTAAATTATCCTCTAGTAACAACTCTAAAATTTCAAAAAGTTCCTTTAAACAATAAAGGTTTATTTTTTACACATGCTTTGTGTTCAGTGGGGTTGCAAGCAAACTCTGATCTATGTCTTCCCAGCCAGGGCGAGAGGTTGACCGAGCAGCCACTATCTGGATGTGGCAAAGTGGAAGGGAGAGAGCACAAGAAATTGCTTACTGGTCCTTATAGCTTCCTCCTGGCAGCGGCTCTTACTTCTCAGCAAAAGCAAGTTATTTGACCATTCTCAAGGAGTTAAAGTAGTATGTGCCTAGAGAGAAGAGTTCCAAAGTTGATGAATAGCATTAATCATATTTACATCTTCTCTCTAGAATCTTGGTCAAAACTTGTCATTAGGTTTTGTTATCTAGTGAAATCTATGACATTTGATAATCATTTGCAGTGTTTATCCTTTAGTTTATATTTTACCTATTTTAATGCACTGGCTAGTTGAATGTTGACTAGCAGCAGTAATAGTAGGTGTTCCTTCTCTACTGATCTTAGCAAGTGCTAATTAGCATACTTATTATTTGATGTTTTTGTACATGAACTGTCAAATTATAGAAGTTTTCTTCTTTAGTTTATGAAGAATTTTGGTCCTAAAGAAATAAATTCATACAGGATTTTGATCCTCAATAAATCACATGAATTTTTAAACTATTTTAATGGTGAATTAATATATATTTAACCTTCAAACCAATTTTACAATTCTGGGATAAACCCAACTTTTCAGGAGATTTATTCTTTTTAAATATTTCTGAATTCAGTTTGCTTATGCTGTATTCAGAATTTTTTTGCATTATGTATATGAGTGTGACTGGTCTTTAATTTTTCTTTCTGATATTCTCCTGTCTGTTTTATATTCTCTGTCCTTCTCCAACTCCCCATCTTCTGTCTTTCTCACACACATTCTCCTTTGGTTATTACTACCTCATACAATAAATTGGGAAATACTCTTATTCCAATGGTAAGAATGTTTGTAAAAACTGGAATTACGGTTTCCAATATGTGTGGCATAACTGATTTGCACAACTGTCTGAGCCTACTGTTTTCCTTATGGGAAGAAATTTAACTATAGACCGTAATAGAACTATTCATTCAACTATTCATTCAACTATTATCATTCAACTATTCACTAAAAAAAGCAAAACTTTATTCTTTCTTATTGAAGCATAATTTGCACAAAGAACACAAATTTTAACTGTAATACTTGATAAACTTCAAAAACTGTATCCCTCTGTGTAACCACCACCTGTATTAAGATGAAGACATTTCCAGCCCTCCTGCTGGCTTCCTTGAATCCTTTCCCATTTCTTCCTCTGTTTTAAAGAGAGCATTATGTTGACTTCTTTCACTGCAGATTAGCTTTGAGTCTCTTTGACTTCATAGGAATGGAATCATTCTAGTACATTCTTGGGGGTGTTGACCTTATTTTACTCATGATCAAGTCTGTGAGATTTTCCATGTTGTTTCTTGTAGTAGTAGTTCAGTTTTCTTTCATTGTGCTTTCACCTTCCAGTGTATGAACATATACCATAATCTGTCTGTTCTGCAGTTGATGGAATGTGTTGTTTCCAACTGTTTCTTATTGACTGTTCTAAGTTGGAAATATTTTAAGGAACTTATTCAATTTTCCTAAGAACTCAGGTTTAATTCTTGTAAAATTGTCTACAACATTTTCTTATTTTGTAATTACATTGGACCCTCTGTTTCATATCTAATATTACTTAACACATCCACCATTTTTCTTTTTCCAGATTAGTTATGCCATAAGTTAGTTAATTTTAATAGAAAATCCATGAATGCTAAAAAAAAACCCAAGGATACCCCTTGATTTTGCCCATCGACAAGACCTAAGTCTCAAGGGCTTGAAAAACCAAGTTTATTATAGTGAACTTTTCCATAATAATGAGTATGAATTTGCTAATAGTTGACTAACACATCATTTTTTGAACTGTTTTTTCAAAAGAAGGAAATGTTGATTCTAAGATGTCTTGATCATTAGGAAAAGAAGTTGCTTTCAACTCTCTGTGGTAAATTACAGTGTTCTTAAGTTCTTTCCATTCTATTATGTGTGCGCCCTTGCAATGTGACTGTCCTTTGAAGAATGGAGTCAGTTTCATAGCCCTTGAATCTGGGCTTGGTCATGTGACTTCCTCTGTCAGTGGAACATCAACAAATGTGATACGAGCAAATGCCTGAATAGTACTTGTACATTAGGGTCTCCCATCTTATGTTAAACTGGGCATTTTTCTGCTACTATCAGGATGAGCTTAGGGTAGACTCTCATGGGTGTCAAACCAACTGCTAGATGACAGAGTAAGGCCAAATCAGAGTATCCAGCCCCAGCCACGCTAGTTCAGAGCAGAACTATAGCGAATCCACAAAACTATGAGGAAATAATAGCACATAGTTCTTTGTTTTTAACTAAACTTTCCTTCTGACACTCTTACTTTTTTCCTGTATTTCTAAGTCCCGTCTAGTGGTGGTAGGACTGCTGGTGCCCAAATCATTTACCAGATATGTCTTCAGATTGATAGTACTGAGTTGCAAAAATTGAGGGATATGTCAACCCACTGTCTGTCTTTGCAAATCACAGACAAGAGCTTCTGAATGTGGAGCAGAGTCACTAATCTTAGATTGTCTAAATTGAGTCATGACTTCCTACTACAAAACATCAGTTGTTATGTGGTAGATGATTTCTCATTCCCTGAACAGTGACCCAAAAAATGCACCAAAGTACCACAATTAAAAATTAGTTAATCCTTGGATTCATAAGGCATAAAGAGAAACTAGCCATTGAATAACATGTTCTAAGACAGACATTGGCTGCATGTTTTGTTGAGGTGTGAAAAATCCATTTGTCTACATCACTGTGTCCTTTATTTCCAAACATTTTTTCCAGGTTTTCAGAAGTTCTTACATGTTAGCTGACTTTACAGTAACATTTGTTTTTTGATTCAAAACAATTGCCCTTGAAAGATTATACTAATCAACAAGACAGAGAATAGGATAATTTGACAAAAGGTAAAGCTTTCCTCTGGAAGCACCTAGTTCTGATTGGTAAAGCTGATATTTAAATGAATTGTGTTTAAGTCTCTTGGAAGGTAAATTTGAGAGATGGTACTTTGAATTTGTCTCTTGCTGCCTTACTAACAAGGAATGCCATACAACCATTTCTTTAATTTTTAAACATTTCTCTAAATATGATAGCTTATAGAAAATAAAAGTGCAATTGGCTAGTTGTTTCCCAAATGAGCTTTCCATTTTTAAGACAACGGAGGGGTAGTAGTTGCTTTAGGCTATTTCTCATTTAGGATGAGATACCTCAGATGGTTGAAGAGAGTTTTGGATGTAATAAAACTACATAGAATTGACATCAACCATGCATTCATAAATACACACATATTCATATCTAATCAAGCAGCTAAAAAGTCAGCAGTCCTATTGCTTCTGTAGTTTAATTAAAATTTCTGATCCTTCAAATGCACCATTTAGAAATCACATCAGATGCTGTTCATACATTTAGAAGAGGGTGTTGTGGGGGTGAAGAACACAGTGATCATTGAATGGGCAACAGAAACTTTATGAATGCAACAAGCTTTTAGAGCTTCAGTAAAAAAAAAGAGCACTAGGAATTCTTATGTTACTGTCTGGTAGTAGCAGATCATTTTGATGACATGGCTAAAAGGATTGAGGTGCATAAAAGTGGGGGAAAGGGGAGGGGCAAAAAAGGGATTAGAGGATAAGGTGCGCTGCTGCTTTAAAATTATGCATGCCTGGCTGCATCCTTGTCCCTCCCACCGCTTGAGGCACTTGCTGAAGGCTTGGGGAGTTCAGTTCCAGGCGGGCCAGCCAGCAGTCTGCGCTCTGAGTTTCAGGTAACCAAGTGTTTGCTGTGCAGAATCCCTGACTTGGGCACCCAAATCTTCCTTGCAGTCGTCCTTCTGCTGTGGCCTATTTGCTGAGACTTTCTGGGGGTTACCATAATGTTGCCAGGCAACCAGGGACAGCGGTCCTGGGAAGAGCCATTTGTCACACCGAGGGGCCTGGTTGCAATGCAATAAAGAAATGGTAACTCAGCTTATTTATCAATACAATTACTTACACAGTATTAGGGGTCCATATGTAACCTACAAATAGTCATATGAGGAAACACACAAACGTTTGCTAAATACTAAGGCACAGGACGGACAGATGGTGTTGGGTTTCTAATCAGCTTTACCGTGAGCTTAAAGTTGCCGCACATGCTGGGATGAGGGGGGAAGGCCCAAAGTGCTTTGCCAGCTTTATTCGGGACATCTGCAGGTTGGCTCTGCGTTAACCGCATCCCGTGTGTGGGTAAAGGAAATCTATACAGTTCTTTATCTTCTGAAGGAGAGTGGATGCTGCTAATTCCCTGAGGTGGAGTAGCAATCTGAAATTGCTGTGTGGGGAAATATATTAATAAAATAAACGTGCATATGTGTGTATCAAACCGGCTGTCCTGTGGACTTTTTCCAGTGCTTGATTCGCCCAGTGAAGATAGGTACCAATGAGTATTTTGCTATAAACAGTGTACTAAAGAATGTTTTTAAGAAGTTTAATAATGTTTCTTAGGGACTCAGAATCCTCATGCTTAGACTGCACCTAAAGTTTTAAAGACACAGCAGATTTTCCTTGACACTCTACTTTTGATTCCCAGATACCAGCTGCTACTCATGTCTTCGCCATCACCACGGAAGCCTCCGGTGTTTCCTCCGTGTGAAACCACGTCTGCAGTTTCCCGAAAATGGATTTATCTCAACGTTACTTAAAGCACCCCTCAAGAAAGTGCTGCTGGCCAGTGCCCTCGGCCTTCCGACTTATTTAGGAACGCTTGAATCAGAGGAGAATGCTTTTGAGTCAACATGAATTGGCTAGCTCTTTCTCTGGGCTTCGGCCTCTTGTTTCCAGTCCCTGAAACATGGCTCTTTGCCTACTTTGCTTCCATCTCGTGGGCTGACTCTCAGGGCCTGTTCCCAAGGCTGGAGAACGTTGCAGCTTTCAAGAAGGTTTCGGTGGTGCCAACCCAAGTGACGTGCGGAATCCCAGCCCAAAGCACTTTCTGTCAGAGCTCTGCCACAGCTGAGGGCCTTCGGGTCTGTCCTCAGCGCCTCTGCATTCAGGATTGTCCTTTCCGATCATCGCCCCCCACCTACACCAACCTCTTCTCAGCAGGCCTCAGGGGTTGCATCACCAGAGACCAGCGTGACCTGAGTCCCAACTCCCATAACCATTCTGCAAGTTTCATTTTTGGAAATCACCTGAGTTGCTTTGCCTCTCCTCCTGCTCCCAGGCTGGCGGCATCATTTACTCTAGCTGTGTGGTTGAAACTTGAGCAAGGAGGTGTAATGTAAGTAGCAGAGGGAGTGTAAGCTTTCCTAAGTGAAGTTGCTCAGTCATGTCCAACTCTTTGCTACTGCCCTATGGACTGTAGCCTACCAGGCTCCCCCGTCCATGGAATTTTCCAGGCAAGAATACTGGAGTGGGTTGCCATTTCCTTCTCCAGGGGATCTTCCCAACCCAGGGATTGAACCCAGGTCTCCTCCATTGCAGGCAGAAGCTTTCCTAGGGTCCTGCAAAATCAGTTAGAGTCAAGGATATTGCAACTTGAATTCCAACCTAGAAATGAAGGCACTTTGGAATTTAGGCTAACTGAAGACCAGCTCCTACATGAGGCTTTTCTGGTCAACTTCATTTGACCAAATATGTTTTTCCCTAAATTCAACGTGCTTTCCCCTTTCCATGAATGAAGTGAACCCTCAAGAGTATGTTAAAATAATTTCATGGCAGGCAGACATGTTTATACCTGGCTCACTTTATTTCCCCCCCAACCAAGTAGTTTAGCTAAATCTTTAGGCTTAGTTTTCAGAGGCTCAGCCAGACTCACTGTGAGTTGTAAGGCATGGGGACTAGTAATACAAATAATGTGTACTTTCAAGGTCTTGGTCGAGGTTTGTATAAGCAACCTGTCTTTGCTAGAGTATACAGTTGTCGTTAGACAGTGAACTCTCTGAGTGCTGGGGACTGTTCTGCGTCCTTGTTTTCCTAGGAAGAGATGTTTGTTTAACTCATTGTGAAAGATGTTCAATAATGAGTTGAACAAATGAATGACACCTTGTGTCTGAAAAGATATTGCTTTCATCTATTAGGAAATATATAGAAAAGCATAAAAGATTCTCAAAAGTTCATGCCATTGACCCCATCAGAAATGCCTTAGGTGAGTTTGGTGTGGGGCTTTGTTAACAATTTTTATTTTTAATAATCACCTGATTTCATTCTGTAATAGTTTCTGAAACTGATATCCAATGTTTTCCTTAAGTGTTTAGAGCCAATCTAGAAATGAGAATAAATAGGACAGTTTTGAGACTTTTTTTTTTTGCTTATCTTTCTTCTTCCCATAGTACTTCTGGCTTTTCCCCTTGTAATGTTTTCTTTGTATGAGTATGTTGGCCAAGTACCTAAAAACTCATGAAACAAACCAGAAAAGTCTTATAATCTCATAAGCAAATAAGACTTAAATATCTAGGATGTTTAGTTTTAATTTGCCAAGTGAAAGTTGGCATTTTTTCATTTTGTTTTATTTGGAGTGAAAATCATCTCAAACCATTACCTCTGTATCTGTATGTACCCTAAAAGAAAACCCTGTTTTCTTACTGTTTGAAATGTCAGTAAATCCAACTTACTTAGTTTATGTAACTAATGTCCAAAGAGTCTTAAAATATTGTCTCTTGACAAATATGGCTAGGATGAAGTTATTTTTTCTGAATTTTTCCAGGGGATATGTCTCTACAAAATTCATCTTCTATTGGTATCATTTTGTATAAATAAGACAGAGGAATATTTATAGAGGCAGTAGCACATGGTTTATGGTTTTGAGAGTTCCAAGCATCAAGGTCGTTTCCATTCTCAAAACTAAAATACCTGTGGGAATTAGGGAATTTCGCGGTGTTTGTACTAGATAAGTAAAACAAACAAAACATGGATTATCCAATTATTGTTTATCCAGGAGCAAAATAAATCCAGTTCCTAAATATTTTGCTACCTGCCTTCCTCTCACATTCATTATCTACCAAAGCAAGTATGTTTACAAGCAAACAAAATAGCAAGGAAGATAATCAATAACATATTAAGAAATGCATTTTCAGTAAGCTTGGGGAAATAAGCCTGCATTTGGCAAATACATTCTTGAGTAATGGTCAAATTCTAACTTGTAGATTTAAACTCAAGGAAAACGAATGGAGGCAATCTCTTCTTGGATTGTTTAAGACATAGAAGTGAGGAATAGAGAGAAACTTTAATTCCAGTGACTGAGAAATATCCACCTACTGAAGAGTTGAATCACAATAGAATTTTCATAAAATCATATCTCCACTTTATATAAAATCTTTATGTCAACTAAACCTATTTGCCCTATATAAAATATATTTTTCATAACTTTATCACAAAATTTATGTGCAAAATAGAGTAAAAAGGTGAGAGTGAAATTGTAACTGTTAAGTATTCTCTGACCATATCATCACCTTTCAACTCTCAGAAAGAAAGAATGCCAATGAGGAGGAATGATTTGTGAGAAAAATGTGCCCTTTAAGGAAAGTTTTAAAAACATGTTTAGCAATAGTTCTGGGTTGGCCCAATCTTACCTTTGCCTCTTTGATTCTTCATACTCAGATCACTAACTCATCATTTTTTTGGGGGGGTGGGGGGATCTACTATATACCAGGCTATGCTGCTATTGTCAGACAACTCATGATTGAATAGGAAGACAGATGGATGGGTATTATTTCCAAAACAGCACAATAAGAGAGCAGCAAGGAAGGCCTCTTAAGAACCTTGAGAAGGTTGGGTTCCAAGATCAGACATAATCTTAGAGTATCTGAGCTGAGTAAGAGGCAACTGGGTGAAGGAATGAGCCCAGACTCCTCTGGGACTTGATGATCTTCTCCACTTTGGGATATACCACCTCCTTGAGCTCCTGGCTGTGAGATGCAGGCTGATGAGCATCTTTAATAGCTAGTAACTTGGAAGAGATATTTGTGCTTAATGTTCATGATGTTTCTCTTTGAATAGTGGATTTGGGGGACTAATCTCCTTAGGAGATTCTTCTTTCTTAAAAAGTTGAACTGCTAGATTGAAATGTACTTGGAAATGGGCTCAAGATCATATCTGTTTCTTCTCAGTGGGTATAGAGTGGCTAGGCACATGCAATGATATAATTAGTATAACATAAAATCCCTTATACTAAACATAAATCAGGGCTTCCCTGGTGACTCAGATGGTAAAGCGTCTGTCTGCAATGCAGGAGACCTGGGTTTGATCCCTGAGTTGGGAAGATCCCCTGGAGAAGGAAGTGGCAACCCACTCTAGTACTCTTGCCTGGAAAATCCCATGAATGGAGGAGCCTGATAGGCTATAGTCCATGGGGTCACAAAGAGTCAGACACGACTGAGCAACTTCACTTTCAAACAAACATCAGTAGAGAATATAGAAAACATAAAACATGTCTTTTTAAAGGGATAAGAAAATAGTGCTGTTATCATTAGGATATAAGTGATTTTTAAAAATAACATGATTTGATAACTGGCGTGACAGTTAATTTTCTGAAAATTCTTCTATTTTATCAAAATATTTCACTGTATTTTTAGAAGATTTCATGACCTTTCGTCCCAGACCATTACCATGATCTCAATGCCCCAGTTGGGCTTTGTGGTCATGGTGAGCTGGGCAGTTGTCTTACAGACACTGGCTTTGGCTTCTGGCCAGTTGATGATGAGCTAAATAAAGACTATAGTTGTCCATTCTCCATTTCATCATGGGAATTAAATAGAGCGATTCTGACTTCAGGGCTAGTAGTTTAGAGCCTTCTATGGACACTAAACTATCTTTACAATAAAAAAAAAAAGGAGAAAATGATTTGCTCTGGTGGCTCAATAGCCAAGCAGAATGTGGTGTATTGTGCCACTGCCTATAAAAGAAATGGCAGAGGAACTAATGAGCCAATAGGCTAAATATTGGTTTTGCAGGATGATTCAGCCACTTGAGTTGCCACCATGAATCTCTAATAAAGGGAGTGAAGGTTCTAGCAGATGTACTGTAAATAAGGATTCTATCTTTATTGAAATTAAAGGGCCTCTTAATTGAAAGAAAGCTTGCCCTGTATATGATGACCTTCAGGTACTTGTTCATTGTGACCTTTGATTAGAGTTTGGGATCTATTGTACCACCATCGCTGGACAATGTCATAGTCTGTCTTTTGGTTGGAAACTGACCTTTTTTCTCTTTTCTGGTTGCTTCCCAAGGTGTGTTATAGAAAAGACAGCGGATGGGCAGATTGTATTCAAACTTACAATATCTGAGAAAGAGACCATGTTTTATTACCGCACAGTAAATGGTTTGCAGCCTCCAATAAAAGTAATGACACTGGGGAGAATTCTTGTGAAGAAATGGATTCATCTTAGTGTGCAGGTGAGTAAAATAAAAAATATTTAACATTTGGTTAAGCACAAGGATCCATCCTCCTTTTTTTCCCTTTAAATGGCATCTTCCCATAAGATGTGAAGCACTACCTTTAAGATCTTAAGTATTTGTAAGTGACAACTAAAGAAAAACAATATTTAAATGACCTAATGATGTATCTTTTGAAATACCAGTATTTCCCTCTTAAAATTGCAGTGAAAATGTCTGCAGATGCTTAGGACAGTCCCATTTGGAGTAATAGCCTCAGGAAAGTTTTGTTTTATTTGCTTAGTATATTTTATTTTGTTTAAAAATGTGTAACGGCTCTTTTGCTGTCTAGTACTAATTTTGATGGTCATGCAGTGTTAAGACCTTGGCCTGGATTTTACAGCTGTCTTTTCTAGGTAGTCTCTTATAATATGAGTACAATTTGACTGTTGCATTTAAAATGCTGACCTTAGAACTAATGAACTTTACACATCAGGCACTCAAAAGGTGTTATATGATTACTTTCGTTGTCAACAACAGTTTGTATTTGCCTTAGAAGTTGCTAAAGGCTGAGATAACTGTGAGATGGCTGCTATTTTATAGTTCTCGGGAATAGACAGTTTATTCTTTGGTTTCTTTAGGGCTCTGGAAGGGTCCAGTGCGGTCTAAAGTCACCCTTGCCTTTTACACCAGAGGTACTGTGTACCATAGTTCCCAGTGTATGCTCTCAATGTTGTTCAGTCCGACTCTGAATCTCCTGAACTTCAGCCCACCACACTCCTCTGTTCTCTACTATCTCCTGGAGTTTGCTCCAATTCATGTCCATTGAGCTGGTGATGCTGTCTAACCATCTCATCCTCTGCTGTTCCCCTCTCCTTTTGCCTTCAATCTCTCCCAGCATCAGGGTCTTTTCCAATGAGTCAGTTCTTCGCATCAGGTGGCAAAAGTGTTGGAGCATCAGCATGAGTATGCTCTCATAGGTGTACCCCAGTGTGGTCCATGCAAACCCTATTTGCACTAGAGGACATTTGTAGCCTTGTGTACTTTATGAAAACCTTTGATTTATCACATTCCCCTCAACTCTGAAGCAGGTAGACTTCCTGATGTTATTACCATGGTTCTTGGCTTCCTTAATAGAAATTGATTAGAGGCCAGACAAATAATTCAGGCAAGCCTTTACTGGGTCCCCTGCTGTAGCAGGGGGGATCAAAAACAAGTAACAGTTTCCCTTGCTCTCTCTTTGAGGTGAGGTGAAAGCTGATTCCTTATATGTGGTGAGAATAGGAGCAGGTCTAGGGTCAGACCAGAAGGGTGGCTTAGGTGGTCTGTTACCTCTTTGGTGATGCTATGTGCATGTGACATGTGCAATACCCTGCTTTTGGTCTCAGCTCTTCAGAAGTGACACTTGGATTTTTTTGTCTTCTCTTATTGTCCATAATTTGCCCCAACTGAACATGTACACAGTTATTTTTAGTCTTTTATAGTTTCTTTGCAATTTGTTGCTCCAGAGGACATTTGTCCAGGGTTCGATCCCTGGGTTGAGAAGATCCCCTGGAGAAGGGAAAAGCTACCCACTTCAGTATTCTGGCCTGGGGAATTCCGTGGACTGTATAGTCCACGGGGTCACAAAGAGTCAGATACGACTGAGTGATTTTCACTCGTTCACACAAACACTGCTGCAAGGGGTCCCAGGTTCCACTTAAAGTGTCTTGAGAATTGTTATTTGGATTTTAAAGTCTATTTCAGTGTAGATACTATTATTGAGGATTAAATACACTTTAAACATATCTTTGTTTGGTCTGATAGTAACTGTGAAGTTCTGCTATGCATGTGCACTGCATTGCATTAAAAGCCTTAAAAAGGACATTTAAAATAGGAATGCAGGGAGATGATTGAACGGAGAGAGGAAATGATTTGTTTCCATAGGAGGGTATTGACAAAGTGATCTTCAATCAGTACGTTAGGCTTATCTACTCTGCTTTTTGGTAGGATATGAGTTTAGCAAATTCAGTTGGCAGGGAGCAGGGTTTCCATGCCACCAGGGTTGAAAGGACCTGCAAAAAGGTGGGTCACATCTGATATCTATCACAGTGATGGATTCAGTCTGTTTATGCTTGCCTCTCATTTATTCAGTAGTTAGCAGATACAGGACTTATATATCTTGTCCATTCTGCCTGCTGCCAGTGTACCAGAACCAGAATTGGGCTATAAAAATATTGAACTAGAAACCACTGAATAAGTGGACTCTACAAAAGATATCGAATGAGTATATTTATTTGTTGCATAGTTTTGTATCAGTAATGATGAACAAATGCTTTTTACTTGCCTTTATTTTGCCTTACCTGTGAAACTGTGCCATGTTTTGGCAGGCAGTAGTACATTAAAAGCTTTACAAAGAAAGTTTAAAAATCTAAAAGTGAAGAAGTAACCATGACTGAATTGCTCCCCTAGGAGTCAGCTGCTCTTAGACTGCCTATTGAAATCAGCATTATCATTTCAATACATGTCAAATATGAGTCACTTCCTAGTTTAGGCAACATTTCTTTATAAATCTTTAAATCCTCGCCTTCTTTCAAGAAAGGCTAAAGTACTTATGATTTAATGAGACACCTTTATTTCATAACTATTTGACTATCAAGAGAAAACTTGTCCTTTCCAATTAGTGCTCCTCTTTTATTAATTTTTTACATAAGTTTTTTTAAAAAATCCCTATTCTATGTTTTACATTAAAACTATAGAACAAAACAGTCATAAAGCAGAAAAATCATGCAGGTTGGGTTTTATTCATCTGGTATTTATTGATAGATATGGGGATATCCAGCATTTTGGAGATCTGTATTCATTCAAATAAAAATTAAAGAGCAGTTATTTTAACTGGAGATCTGCATAAGTTTCCTTTAAATTGGACACAAGTCTGAATAGATTTGGGCTTTCCTGGTGGCTCAGACAGTAAAGAATCTGCCTGTAATGTGGGAGGCCTGAGTTTGATCCCTGGATCAGAAAGATCCCCTGGAGAATGGAATGGCTACCCACTCCAGTATTCTTGCTTAGAGAATTCCATGGACAGAGGAGCCTGGCAGGTTTGCAAAGAGTTGGACATGCCTGATCGATAAACACCTTCACTTCTCACTTCTGATACATTTAAGATACTTATAAAGTTATAGATGCTTAGTAAAGAAGGTACTCATTCCTAAAAAGTGATACAGAAAGAAGTGGGAAGAATAACAGGTAAGGAGAAGAGAAATCTGACTCAGGTAATGCTACTCAGTAGTCTTAACAAATATACTTAGCTCAGTTTTCTTATGTGGTAAGAGGATTGGACTCAATGTGCAAAACAAGGCTTCCTGGAATTCTCTGTTGAAAAGAAGTGTGGGAAGCTGTTAATTTGTGTAGGTTTGTCTGGACAGACATGGTTAAGGGACACAGCCAGCTCCTCAACTGATGCTCGGGTTTATGCTTTGCCCCCTGCGTCCCTCTGCGATCTGGAATTTACACAGCAATGTTTTTGGTAGACTTCTTGGCAAGTGCAACTTGTAACTCTTTCACTATTTAACTGCAAATAATATATTTTAAATGTGAAATGTAACTTATTCTCTGTTGCATTATTATCTAGTGCATCCAAATTCTGTTTGATTTGGGGATCAGGGCCTTCATTGTCCTGGGCATAGGATAGAACAATACTTGATAATCTGGCTTAGTCAAGTTTAAAATTGCAAGTCTATAGTTAATGTGTATATGTATGTCTTTACTCATCCTCCAATATGGCTACAATCAATGAATTTACATGGTATGTGCATGCATCTGTGTGGGTGTCTATAAAACTAAAATACCTTTACTCATGGATTTGGCTCAGAACCAGAATTTAACTTACATAGACATAGTGACATAAAATTAATTAACCGATCTGGCCTTACACCTTACCTCAGAGAGTTCACTTAGTGTCAGCTTTCCATCAGTAAAATCAGAATTCTTATTTCCCAAATCTAAAAAAAGAAATGAGTTTTAAATAATTAAATCCCTGGGCAAAAAAAAAAATGGTGCTAGGAAGAATCAGACATTCCAGATTTTGGAGGTCTATTTTTCTAAACAAAAAAATGCCTGATATTACTATAATGGATCTAACAGCTTTTATTCAAGAACTAGCATTTTGAAGCTTCAACCTGTTGGAAAATGATTAGTTTTTAAATTAATATTCATTCAGGGACTTGAATCTGACATGATTGCCAATTTAAATTTTACTTTGGGGTTTAATATATTGGCTATTTCAAATTATATCAAGCTGAAATTCGTTATGTCATATTTTTTGTACTAAAACTGGAAAAAAATCAATTCAGACTTTTTATTATCAAATGGGGAACACTGATAACATTAGCAGATTTTTTAAAGCTTCGTTTTCATATTGTATCAGCATGTTATGGTTATTTTAAGAGATCTCTTTGGATTTTCTTTTTTTTTTAAGTTTTAAAATATGTAAAAGGATTTTACTTCAGCAGTTTGTTAGGGCTTGGTGAGTAAAGCAGCTTGGAAGGATATTGGCTTTCTGTTGTGTATCATTTAAAAGTAAAACCTTAAAGTTTCCTATGAAAACAGTTTTCCCTTAACTAGTTCTACATATTTGATAAGACTAATAGCATCAAAGAATCATTAGTAACCCTGTAGTAATTATGCTGAAATGTAGTAGTATTCTATAATTAGAAGCTGATGAAGTATTGCAAGTGTGGAAGCAAGAATTGGTTTAGCAATGAGTTTTTCACATCTATGCTATTTTGAGGACTCCTTGAAACACTGACAAGTCAAGAGCCACAGATGGTCCTAGCTACAATAATGTGAAAAAGAGCAGTTCTAATCTAATACAGAGAAGGGAAAAAAATGCTTGGGTAAATAAAGTTTCAGGGATCAATAGATGAAGAATAGGAGTTTCATAATCATAGTTTGTTCATGAAATATGTTCTTTTGATTTATGTATTCAATCTGAAAAAGGGAAACTATTGATGGTTCTGAAGAAAAATAAAATGCAATTT